TACGGCTTATAAATGTCACGATTCCAAGTCAACATGAGTCCAATCGCCCGGAGACGAAAAGGAACGTGTCTAAATGGCACGGAGTCGAAAAGGAACGCGTCCAATCGGGAACAGCGTCCAACCGGCACGGAGTCGAAGAGGAACGCGTCCAATCGGGATAGTCTAATTGGACGGAGTCCAAACGGGCATCACTCATCTCTAACAGTAAGAAATTAAATCCTAGCCAGAGATTAAGCGAATAACCAAAGCACGAGAAGTAATAGAATATTAAACATCCTCTCTGAGGCGTGAGACTCAAGAAAGCGCCGACCGAAAGATAAGCACCTGCGAGTGCCAAGAATAACGCGCATGCGTCAACCAGCGATAAATACGAGCCCTGCGCGGCTCCGCCAGACCAGTTTTCAGTTCAGTTCAGTTAGTCTCTCATCGTTCACAGCTGAGTCCGCACAGTCAGTTCAGTTAGAGCAGTTAGTCGGTTCACACACTTCATTCATTTCGTTCATTTTACCAGCGTCCGTGCGAGTCAGACGCTCGCAGTTCGCGCTTTATACTTCTTTTGTGCTCGTTATTGTTCATCGTTCCGACGCATCGTACGTCTTCTTATTATTTGAATTGTCATCATTCTTGCGCATCGTACGCTTCTTTATTAGTTTTATTAACGATTAAATAAAGTGTTTTTACTTGTTACATCATTATTGTGCTCGTTTTATTAACGATCCTCAAGACCCAGATCTGCTTTAGACTAATTTAAATTACTTCTTTGATTACGGTAGCATTCGATTTCTGTGTTGTCGCGCTCTTACCAAGGAGCAAAGACTCAGAGGAACGACATTTGATCTCTCCAATGCAATCTCGAGATTTGGATTTCTTCTTTCATCACCAGGGTCGCTTGATAGCACTCCGTATGGAAGCAGAGGTATATATCTTGTGATATTTATTTTCAAACGTCATTCACGGGCTTTCCATTTTTCGCTTCATAGCTTGGGTTGCTACTTAGCACTCGGCCTTGTTGTGTTTAATGCCAATCCCGTCCGATTTTAATTATTCTTTCTCTATAATATATTTCGAATCATTTCAAATAGAACAATAAGCAGAATCTTCCACGGTCCCGCACGCGTCGTCCGAACAGGAGGAGTCGTCGCGGAGGAATCAAGAAACATCAAAAGAAGGAGCTCGCGAAATATCTACATAAATTATACGACGATTTAGCTTCTCGCATCAAAGCATTACAAGTCGCGCTCGCCCTATATCAGGAACCTCTCGTTCACCCGTCTAATCCCGGAATCGTGGTTAACCGACCGTCATCGCTTATCGATTCAGAGGCTTCTACATTTATTCTCGACGATCCGTCAAACTTCGACGTGATCCCAGTCATAGATCTGACTGAGGACGGCGACGAGGATTCTTACCTGGAAACCATTGACACAACCACGGCTCCTAAGGTAAACGATCATTTTGAAACTCCGGGATATCTCTTAAAGACATACGTTAATAATTACGGGGACATTCTAAATAATTCAATACCAGCGCCCATACACGAGTGGTGTGAAAATCTTTATTTCGATAATAATTAATTAAAAATAAATTTTTATTATTGCTCTTAAACTCCCAATATCGACTGCTACGCTTGTAGGGACGTGTATGCGTCCGCCAAGCCCCTGGACAGTCGACGAACCCACCTCGAATAAAATAAATCATATTAGAATAATCGCTAATAAATAGGTATTTTAACTACCTTTTGTACTAACCTGACAATAGACGGAGACCATCTGTCGTCCTGTCAGTTCTTTATTCACGTTTTGTTTCGTTCCTGGTTCGAGTCGATCCGCTACGGCAGTAAGAATCTGAAACAAGACGTGACAGTTATATGTAGTTTAATTTTAGTTTTCCTGATTTAATTTCTGTTCTTTTTCTTGCACGCGACACGCTCGCTGCAACAACCCGCACCGACGTTCTCGCACAATACCGCAACCCAATGGCGTCAACCGGAGAAGACAGCAGCGACGCCACTACGCCCAGGGATGCACCCAGCAAGTCGTCCTTCACCATAGACGACTTCTCCAAGTTTGCCAAACTTGTGCTGGACCAACTCGCCGACCTATCCAGACGCCAAGATGAAGTGGAAGCTAGACGACAGAGAGCAGAGACCGTCGCCTTCCCACCACTAGCCCACGACCGAAGGACAAACCGGACGTCGCTGCACGATCTCGAAGGAACCACAGAACAGAAGCCGGTACCCCAGCCGTACTCCCTACACGAGCCACCCTTGTCGATCGGAGTAAAGGAGGCCGCAGAACTCGTCCCGCAGTACAACGGACGCAACATCCCTATCTTACAGATGGTCCGTGCGTGTTATCGTGCTCTCCACATGATACCCATGGACCTGGAGTATCAATTGGTGTCGCTGGTCAAGGCTAAGCTCCAGGACCAAGCCTATTTAGCCATCGAGGACCAGGCCATCTACACCATGAGGAAGCTGACCAGACGACTGAAACTAGTCTTCGCACTTCACTAAACCGTCGACCACTACAACAGCGAGCTGTTCAATATCGTCAAGGGATACAGCGAACCAATGATCAGCTACATCGGACGAGTGAGAGATCTACGGTTCGCCATCCTGGAGGAAGAAGGGCTGTACCGCCAAGACGCCCTCCAAATCAAGAGCCACCCTTTACCTTTTTTTTTTTTTACGTGTGGAAATGCTTTACGCATGCCCCGCCTTCCCGGGGGGAAAGGCAGGGGTATGCGGGACTCAGCCCGGCCTGACGGGCGCTCGTAGCGCCATACCCGCTAAAACCACACACACACCTCATAGCTAAATGGAGACTGCCTGGATCACGCGTGTACTCAACAGGACAGCCTCCGCTATACATAAAATCCCATGCGGGGGAGTTAGCCCCTGCTTTTCCTACGCTAAAAAGACCCCGGGTGGAGTGACCCGTCCGGTGTCCCCATCCCATGAGAGCCTTCGACTTAAGCTTCCCGAGCCCCCGCTCGGTCCACTTACAGCTCTCTGGCATCATTGTGTCCCGTCCAAGGCGTAAGACCTCTACGATAGGGCCCACCCGGGACGGGCCAGGATGACGCCTACTCCCGGTAAGAGAGAGCCATCGGAGGTGTGTTCCAGCGCACCTCGGCTCTCTCCGCCCCAACCCCCTTCCCTACAACAAATTGTGGGGGAGGCCGGCACCCTAATCCGAGGAGATAAGCGGGTGCCGGATCACCCCGATGGAAGCATAGCTTCCCTTAATGGACCGGGGTCAGCTCACACCCCGGTCCGATGGCCTTCTCGGCCTATTGGCCCTTCCCCCCCTTTGCGAAGGGGACGTGACCTGGCGCGTGGGCGAGCCCTGCACAGTCCCGCTCAAAGCTCCCCGTCTATTTGGCGGGGATCTACGGCGCGAGGGTCGCCCCTGCGCCCACACCCTACGGGCCGATCCCGGGTCTCGTTCCCGGGCTCTCTCGGCGGCCTCCTTCTCGGACATTACTGTCTCACAGAAAGAGGCCACCGCCTTCCACGACCTGTTGCTGTAGACCATGTGGTCGACCACGGTCCCGAGCGAGAGGTCATACACTCCCACCGCGGCTCGGAGGACACGACGCTGCTCTGCCAATGCCGGACACTCCTCGAGCGTATGTTGCGCTGGGTCCACGTCTTCGTCGCAGTGGTGACACTGCGCGGTTGGCTCCTGCCCCACTCCATGGAGGTATTCACGAAAACACCCATGACCGGTGAGTACCTGCGTGAGGCGGAAGGTCAGCCTTCTCTGCACCCTGCACCATGTATCAAATACGGGCAGGATGGCCCGGACGATTGAACGACCCGATGGAGCATCAATCAAGCGCTGCTTCCACCGGGCGAACGTGTTCGTCCGGGCCTGACGCTTCATTTCTTCGACCTCCTCGGCCTTCTCTCTGCCGTGATCGACCCCTGGCGGTCAGCGGGCGGCGCAAACTATATGATATAGCCGCGCCCGTTCCGCCGCCACCAAGTCAAGTGGAGCGATCCCGGCCAGGAGGCCAGCGACCTCCCCAGAGACGGTGCGGTAACCCCGAGTGGCCCTCAGGGACATCCGGCGCCCTACTCGCTCAAAAAGACCAAGACCGCGCCGGCTGCCCCCGAGCGAGCGTGACTAGACGGGGGCTCCATACAAGGCTATAAACCGCACCACCCCCGTGTAGAGGTGACGCCCCTTCCCGTTTGGCCCCCCCCCCCCCCCGATATTCGACAGCAGCCGCCCTAGAGTAGTCGCTATCTTCTCTACTTGAGGGGCAAGGAGGTCGAAGTGATCTTCGAAGCGCCAGCGGCCGTCGATCGTCAGACCCAAGTAACGCATACTGGGCTTGATGTCGACGTAGGCTTCACCGACCTGGATCCGGAGATGACTCTCGGGTGGCGGCGACAGTCGGCCCCGAGGCAACCCATACATCCATATCGCCTCGGTCTTCCCGACCGCCACCACCAACCCCATCCGTCGGATCCGACCAACCACGCAGTCCAGGGCGTTCTCTGCGAGTGTCCTGGTCCTTCTCCAGTTCTCCCCCTCCGCATAAAGCAGGGTGTCATCTGCTATGCG